GTCAGGAAGGGGTCCAGTTTCTGCTTTCTGCACATGGCTAGCCAGCTTTCCCAACACCATTTATTGAACAGGGAATCCTTTCCCCATTGCTTGTTTTTGTCTGGTTTGTCAAAGATCAGATGGTTGTAGATATGTTGTGTTGCCTCCGAGACCTCTGTTCTGTTCCATTGGTCTATATCTCTGTTTTGGTACCAGTACCATGCTGTTTTGATTACTGTAGCCTTGTAGTATAGTTTGAAGTCTGGTAGTGTGATGCCCCCCGCTTTGTTCTTTTTGCTTAGAATTGACTTGGCTATGCGGGCTCTCTTTTGGTTCCATATGAAGTTTAAGGTGGTTTTTTCCAGTTCTGCAAAGAAGGTCATTGGTAGCTTGATGGGGATAGCATTGAATCTGTAAATTACTTTGGGCAGTATGGCCAGTTTCACGATATTGATTCTTCCTAACCATGAACATGGGATGTTTCTCCATCTGTTTGTGTCCTCTCTTATTTCGTTGAGCAGTGGCTTGTAGTTCTCCTTGAAGAGGTCCTTTACATTCCTTGTTAGTTGTATTCCTAGGTATTTTATTCTCTTTGTGGCAATTGTGAATGGAAGTTTGTTCTTGATTTGGCTCTCTTTAAGTCTGTTACTGGTGTATAGGAATGCATGTGATTTTTGCACATTGATTTTGTATCCTGAGACTTTGCTGAACTTGCTTATCAGTTTCAGGAGGTTTGGGGCTGAGACGATGGGGTCTTCTAGATATACAATCATGTCGTCTGCAAATAGAGACAATTTGACTTCCTCCTTTCCTATTTGAATGCCCTTTATTTGTTTTTCTTGCCTGATTGCTCTGGCTAGAACTTCTAATACTATATTGAATAGCAGTGGTGAGAGCGGGCATCCTTGTCTGGTGCCACATTTCAAGGGGAATGCTTCCAGTTTTTGCCCATTCAGTATGATATTGGCTGTTGGTTTGTCATAAATAGCTTTTATTATTTTGAGATACGTTCCATTGATACCTAGCTTATTGAGTGTTTTTAGCATAAAGGGCTGTTGAATTTTGTCAAAGGCCTTCTCTGCATCAATTGAGATAATCATGTGGTTTTTGTCTTTGGTTCTGTTTATGTGGTGAATTACGTTTATAGACTTGCGTATGTTGAACCAGCCTTGCATCCCCGGGATGAAGCCTACTTGATCATGGTGGATAAGCTTTTTGATGTGCTGTTGCAATTGGCTTGTCAGTATTTTATTGAAGATTTTTGCATCTATGTTCATCATGGATATTGGCCTGAAGTTTTCTTTTCTTGTTGAGTCTCTGCCGGGTTTTGGAATCAGGATGATGTTGGTCTCATAAAATGATTTGGGAAGAATTCCCTCTTTTTGTATTGTTTGGAATAGTTTCAGAAGAAATGGTACCAGCTCCTCTTTGTATGTCTGGTAGAATTCAGCTGTGAACCCATCTGGACCTGGGCTTTTTTTGGGTGGTAAGCTCTTAATTGCTGCCTCAACTTCATACCTTGTTATGGGTCTGTTCAGGGTTTCGGCTTCTTCCTGGTTTAGGCTTGGCAGGAGGCATGTGTCCAGGAATTTATCCATTTCTTCCAGGTTTATTAGTTTGTGTGCATAGAGTTGTTTGTAATAATCTCTGATGATGGTTTGAATTTCTGTGGAATCTGTGGTGATATCCCCTTGATCGTTTTTTATTGCATCAATTTGGTTATTCTCTCTTTTCTTTTTTATTAATCTGGCTAGTGGTCTGTCTATTTTGTTGATCTTTTCAAAAAACCAGCTCCTGGATTTATTGATTTTTTGAAGGGTTTTTTGTGTCTCTATCTCCTTCAGTTCTGCTCTGATCTTAGCTATTTCTTGTCTTCTGCTAGACTTTGAGTTTTTTTGATCTTGCTCCTCTAGCTCTTTCAGTTTTGACGATAGGGTGTCAATTTTTGATCTCTCCTTGCTTCTCATGTGGGCACTTATTGCTATATATTTTCCTCTAGAGACTGCTTTAAATGTGTCCCAGAGATTTTGGTATGTTGTGTCTTCGTTCTCGTTGGTTTCGAAGAACATCTTTATTTCTGCCTTCATTTCATTGTTTATCCAGTCAACATTCAAGAGCAAGTTGTTCAGTTTCCATGAAGCTGTGCGGTTCTGAGTTAGTTTTTGAATTCTGAGTTCTAACTTGATTGCACTGTGGTCTGAGAGACTGTTTGTTACGATTTCCGTTCTTTTGCATTTGCTGAGGAGTGATTTACTCCCAATTATGTGGTCAATTTTAGAGTAGGTGTGATGTGGTGCTGAGAAGAATGTATATTCTGTGGATTTGGGGTGGAGAGTTCTGTAAATGTCTATTAGGTTTGCTTGGTCCAGGTCTGAGTTCAAGTCCTGGCTATCCTTGTTAATTTTCTGTCTGGTTGATCTGTCTAATGTTGACAATGGGGTGTTAAAGTCTCCCACTATTATTGTGTGGGAGTCTAAGTCCCTTTGTAAGTCATTAAGAACTTGCCTTATGTATCTGGGTGCTCCTGTATTGGGTGCGTATATATTTAGGATCGTTAGCTCTTCTTGTTGCATTGGTCCTTTTACCATTATGTAATGTCCCTCTTTGTCTCTTATGATCTTTGTTGCTTTAAAGTCTAATTTATCAGAGATGAGAATTGCAACTCCTGCTTTTTTTTGCTCTCCATTTGCTTGGTAAATCTTCCTCCATCCCTTTATTTTGAGCCTTTGTGTATCCTTGCATGTGAGATGGGTTTCCTGGATACAGCACACCGATGGGTTTTGTCTTTTGATCCAATTTGCCAGTGTGTGTCTTTTGATTGGGGCATTTAGTCCATTTACATTTAGGGTTAATATTGTTATGTGTGAATTTGATACTGCCATTTTGGTGCTAGCTGGCTGTTTTGCCCTTTAGTGGAGCTGGTACTTGTTGTTCCTTTATATGTGTAGAGCCTCTTTCAGGAGCTCTTGTAGAGCTGGCCTGGTGGTGACGAAATCTCTGAGTACTTGCATGTTCCCAAAGGATTTTATTTTTCCTTCACTTATGAAGCTTAGTTTGGCTGGATAGGAGATTCTGGGTTGAAAGTTCTTTTCTTTAAGGATGTTGAATATTGGCCCCCATTCTCTTCTGGCTTGTAGGGTTTCTGCTGAGAGATCTGCTGTGAGTCTGATGGGCTTCCCTTTGTGGGTAACCCGACCTTTCTCTCTGGCTGCCCTTAGTATTTTCTCCTTCATTTCAACCCTGGTGAATCTGACGATTATGTGCCTTGGGGTTGCTCTTCTTGACGAATATCTTTGTGGTGTTCTCTGTATTTCCTGGACTTGAATGTTTGCCTGCCTTGCTAGGTTGGGGAAGTTTTCCTGGATAATATCCTGAAGAGTATTTTCCAGCTTGGATTCATTCTCTTCGTCGCATTCAGGTATGCCTATCAAACGTAGATTAGGTCTTTTCACATAGTCCCACATTTCTTGGATACTTTGTTCATTCCTTTTTACCCTTTTTTCTCCAGTCTTGCCTTCCCGTTTTATTTCATTGAGTTGATCTTCGACCTCTGATATCCTTTCTTCTTCTTGGTCAATTCGGCTGTTGATACTTGTGCATGCTTCATGAAGTTCTCGTGTTGCAGTTTTCGGCTCCATCAATTCACTTATATTCCTTTCTATTTTGTCCATTCTTGTTAGCATTTCGTCAAATCTTTTTTCAAGTTTCTTAGTTTCTTTGCATTTGGTTAGAACATGTTCTTTAAGTTCACAGAAGTTTCTTACTACCCACCTTCTGAATTCTGATTCTGTCATTTCATCACACTCATTCTCCATCCAACCTTGTTCCCTTGCTGGCGAGGAGTTGTGATCCCTTTTAGGAGGAGAGGTGTTCTGGTTTCGGGTGTTTCATCCTTTTTGCGCCGGTTTCTTCCCATCCTTAAGGATTTATCCACCTGTCGACTTTGTAGTTGCTGGCTTTCAGATTGGGTCTCAAATCTTTCAGATTGACGTTCTGTTTGTTGATGATGAGGTTATTTCTGCTTCTTGGTTTTCCTTCTGACAGTCTGGCCCCTCTGCTGTAGGTCTGCTGAGGTTCACTCCAGGCCCTGCTTGCCTGGGGTTCACCTGCAGCAGCTGTTGAACAGCAAGGGTTGTTACCAGTTTTCTTCTTCTTCTATCTTTGTCCCAGAAGGATACCCGCCTAGTGTCAATCTGATCTCTCCTCTATGAGGTGTCTTTTTGGATATATAGGGGTCAGGGAGCTGCTTGAGGAGATGGTCTTTTCTTTATAGGAGCTCAAATGGTGAGCTGTGAGCTCTGTTGTTGTTCATTCAGAGCTGCTGGGCAGGTACTTTTAGGTCTGCTGCAGCAGAACTCATAAACTGCTTTTTGTTCCCAGGTGCTCTGTCCCAGGGATTTAGGGCTTTATTTATGAGTTTCCGTTATGCTGCTGCCTTCTTTTTTTTTTTTTCTTTTTTTCCTTCAGACCTGCCCAGCCCAGCAAGGAGGCAGCCTAGTCACTGTCGGCCTATAGCAGCTTTGCTGAGCTGCTGTGGGCTGCACCCCGCTGCCGAGTGAACTTCCCTGCAGTCCTGTTTATATGGGTGTAGTTAGAACTGCTTTGGCGATGGTGGCCTGCCTCTGTTGGGGCGGAGTCTCTGCTGTGGCGTGTTGCCTTGGCAACGGCGGGCTGCCTCAGCAATGGCGGGTTGCCTTGGCAACGGCGGGCTGCCTCGGTAATGGTGGACGCCCCTCCCCCACAGAGCTGGACTGTCCCGGGTTCAGCTGTGCTTGCTGTGAAATTCTCAATCCAGAGTTTCTGGTTGCTGTTCTTTTGTGGGGGTGGGGCCAGCCGAGCCTGATCGCCTGGCTCCCTGCCTCAGAGCCTTTTTTAAGTTGGTGTTCCAGTCGCCTGTTGAAGAGGCGCCGGGGTCTGTTTGTTTTCCCCTGCGGCCACTCACTGCGCTGGCTTAAACAGCGGCACTGAGGTTTGTGGCGCTTTTTTTTTCTTTTTTTTTTTTTTTTTGCCCTGGAATCTACTGTCCTGGTTCTCTGCTCTGTCCCCTTTTTGAACCAGCATATGGGCGACTTCCCGTGGCTCCAATCGCCAGCCAAAAGGGCACCCGGACCGGTGTATTTTGTACGGAGAACCGCGGCTCCGGGGCGCCGACAAAGCAGCCGCGCGGGGCAGAGCAGCGGCGCCGGCCGGCACAGCCGCGCTGGCCGAAACAGCTGCGCTGGCGACCGTGGAGCTCCTCTGCCCGGGAATTTCCTAGTCTGTGGGCAATAAAAACGCGGCATCCACTCACCCTCTGCGCTTTCACTGGGAGCTGCAATCCTGAGCTGTTCCTAAACGGCCATCTTGGATCTCCTCCAATTTTATTTTTTTGAGATGGAGTTTCACTCTTGTTGCCTAGGCTGAAGTGTAATGGTGTGATCTTGGCTCACTGCAACCTCCGCCTCTTGGGTTCAAGTGATTCTCCTGCCTCAGCCTCCCAAATATCTGGGATTAAAGGCAAGCACTGCCATGCCTGGCTAATTTTTTGTGTTTGTAGTAGAGATGGGGTTTCTCCATGTTGGTCAGGCTGGTCTGAACTCCCAACCTCACGTGATCTGCCCACCTCGGCCTCCCAAAGTGCTGGAATTACAGGCATGAGCCATTGCACCTGGCTGAGTGGAAGCATTTTTTCAGAGTCACAGAGCAAAGTGTGTTGGTTCACCAACAAAGAACCAAAGCTGGCAGGCACTTATAAGTATAATAAAACTTCGAGGTCACCCACTTTAGGTACCCTTATTTATAAGGAAGGAAACAGGCTTTACTGTAGCCATTGCCTACATTAGGTTGAGGCGGAGCCTAGCTCATTTTACTTCTAGGTGCCCACAGAGGTAGATGGCTGAACCCCAGTTCTGTCCTCTTGCAACTGACCTGGAGCAGACCCCAGGTGAAGCAGAACCCTGAATCTGCTTATTATCCACGCCCCTGGATGTGTAGCCAGGGGCTCTAATTTCCAAAGAAAACCTGATAGGTTTTCTAGCTACACATCCTTGGTTGAGCCAAGGTATAGGAACCTAGAGCCCTCTCTAGAGGTTTGGACCCACCTTCTGAACTCTGCATCAGTTCCTGACTCTTTTAGGGCCTCGGTTTCCTAATTGGAATGTAATAAAATATTGAATGTAAAACTGCATAAGCATATGCTCAATGAGAACATGGTGTCAGACTCCTCAATACTGGATATATTGGAGTGGGGTGGGTTGGATGTCCATGGGTTCTCAGGCCTTTTGACATGCCCAGTACAAATAGACATAGAGCTCTGGAAAGCTAGGTTTTCTTTCCTGAGCCAGCTGATTACAGTGCAATTGACCAAGGTCTCTGATCTTAAGCTGGTTTTAAGGATACCCCACCTTTACCCACCACCTGCTAAATAGCCACCCCCATCTCCTGGAGAGCCCATGGCAACCTCCATTACAATGAAGGGGCACAAGGCACTGGACCCGTGGGCCTGGAGAAGAGAAAAACACTTTTTTTATTTCTCTCAAGCTTTAGAATGTGTTGTCAAATATTTAATTTTGATTACGACTGAACTTGAGAATATGTTCATGTGTTTACAGCTGTTTAAATTTATTTTTTCTGTGAACTGTGAGCTAATGTATTTTGCTATATTTTAAACCAATTTCTAAGTTCTCTCTTTAGAATGGAGATGTGGGCACCTTTGTGATATAAATTGCAGATATTCATCCCCAGTTATTTTTTTGTTTTTATTAAGGTGTTTTGTTTTAGTCTGGTTTGAAATTTTTTTTGTGTGTTTTGTTTTGTTGCTATGTATTACTAAAATGAAACTTCTCCCAGATTAACTTACAGGTTTATACATTCTTAATAAAATATTTTGGCAAAAACTTTGTAAAAACTGGGTAGTCAATTTTACAGTTAACATAAACATAGAACAGTTAAGACTACCCTGATGAAAAACAACATTTGAGGCCTTAAAATGCCAAATACTAAGACTTAGATTAAAGCTCTAGTAATGAAAGCTGTGTATGGTAGTAATGTAAGAATAGGCACAAAGAAAACTAGAAAAATCAGAGCATCCAACTCAGACCCACACATTTGGACTTTATGTGTGTTACAAAAGAGACACAACAGAGCAGTGAGTATCTCCACATCCATACACATCAGAAAAATGCAAATTAAAACTATAATGTGATACCATCATGTAGTAATTACAATACAATAAAACTGACAAAATCAATTTTTTGTTGGTGAGGATGTAAAGCAACTGGAACTTACACTGCTGTATGTGTAAACTGTTACAACCATTTTAGAAAACTCTTGGGTACTATCTTTTAATGATGTATGTAAGGGCACTATGAGTCCACAATTCCACGCTTAGGTTTACGCCCCATAGAAATGCCTACATGTGTTTACTATGCAGAAAAAATGTTTAAAGCATTGTTATTTGGTACAGCTTCAAATTGGAAATAACAAAAATGGGCATCAATAATAGAAAAGATTAGTAAAATAGGCTATATATTTTTACAAGGAGATACTATACAGAAGTTGAAAAATTACAGATTCATTAAAACTATGTACAAAACTTGCAAACACAGTTAAATTGTAATTTCTAGTGAGAACAACCAGGCAAAAGAAAAAAATAGAAAGCATCTAACTAGGACAAGAAGTCAGATTATCTCTCTACAATGACAATATGATTCTATACCTAGAAAACCCTGAGACTCTATAAAAAGCCTCTTGGAACTGATAATGCCTTCAGTAAAGTTTTAGGATGTAAAATGATACATCAGTAACATTCAAGCTGACAGCCAAATTAAGAATGCAATTCCAGTTATAACAGCCACAAAAATAATGAAATAATTAGGACTACATCTAACTGAAAGGTAAAATATCTATACAAGAAAAACTACAAAACACTGCTGAAAAGAATCATAGATGACATGAACAAATGGCAAAACATTTCATGCCCATGGATTGAAAGAACCAGTATAGTTAAAATTGTCATACTGCTGCCCAAAGCAATCTACCCATTCAATGCTTTTTCTGTCAAACTACCAATGTCATTTTTCAAATATTTAGAAAAAAGTATTCTAAAATTCATATGGAGCTAAAGAAGAAGCACAAATTGCCAAAGCAATTGGATAAGCAAACAGAAAGAAGCTGGGCTCATTACATTACCTGACTTTAGACTATAAGGGTACAGTAACCAAAACCAGCATAGTACTTGTAGAAAAATGGACAATAGACCAATGGAATAGAATAGAGAACATAAAAATAAATCTACCCATCTACAACCATCTGAACATTGACAAAGTCAGTAAAATAAGTTATGAGGAAAGGACTCCCTAGTCAATAAGTGGTGCTGTAATAACTGGCTAGCCATATAAAGAAAAATAAAATGGACCATTGGCTATTCACCACATTGAAAATAATTATAGATGAATTAAAATCTTGAATTGATTTCAAAGTGGGATCTCAAACTATAAAAACCTTAGGGAAAAATGACCTAGAAAACAGCATTTGGACATTGGCCTTGGCACAGTTTATGACTACATCTTCAAAAGCAGTTGCAACAAAAACAAAAATTGACTGTGTGACCTGAGTAAACTAAAGAGCTTCTACAGAGCAATAGAAATGATCAAAGAGTTTAAACATATAACCCAGAGAATGGAATGAAATGTTTATAAACTCTGTGCATCTGAAAAAGATCTAATATACAGAATCTATAAGAAACTTAGGTAAGCCAACCAGGATAAAACAATCTCATTAAAAAGTTGGCAAAAGACATGAGCAGACACTTTTCAAAAAAGGATATACAAAGAGCCAACACACATAAAAACTACTCATTGCTAGTCATCGGAGAAATGGATATCAAAAGTAAAATAAAATACCGTCTCACACTAGTCAGAATGGATTTTTAATAATAGTTTTAAAAAAACAGTGCATGCTGGTAAGGCCATAGACAAAAGGGCACATTTACACAATTAATGGGAATGTAAATTAGTTCAGCCACTGTAAAAAGTAGATTGAAGACTTCTTAAAGAACTTAAGTATTAAAGCCAGCAGTTCTATTACTTGGTACCTACCCAAAGGAAAATAAATCATTCAAAAAAAAAAAAAAAGCAACCCACATTGACTTGTATGTTTATTGCAGCACTATTCACAATAGGAATAGTGAAATGGAATGACATAGTGAATGGAATTGATATAGAATCAATCTAGGTGACCATCAATAAATTGAATTTTTTAAATCTGGCACATATGTACTATGAACTACTACACAACTATAAAAACAAAATTATATTCTTTGCAGCAACATCGATGCAGCTGGAGGCCATGATCCTAAGTGAACAAGCACAAAAGCAGAAAACCCAATACCACATGTTTTCACTTATAAGTGGGAGATAAATATTGGAGACAGACAAACATAAAGGTGTGAAAAATCCTTGAGTACTGCTGAGTTCTAGAGTGGGAGGCCAGGAGAGGTGCAAGGGCTGGAAAGCTACCTATTTGGCACTATGCTTACTGCCTGGGGGATAGAATCAATCAATCATGTTTCAAACCGCAGCATCACACAACACATCCATGCAACAAACCTGCATGTGTACTTCCTGAATCAAAAATAAAGGTTGAACTTCTAAAAAAAGAAAGAAAAATTAGACTGAAATAAAACAGTACATTATTTATAATTCTATTTAAATAAAGTTTATAAACAAGCAAAAAATTGTAAGTTAGAATATTTGTTATTATTTTGTAAGGGAGGGCAAAATTTGAGAGGAGAATGTGAGGGGGCCTCATGAGGGTTTGTAACATTCTATTTCTTGTGAGTACTTGTTACTTGGTGTGTTTCTGTAAGATAATTTATTACTATATACAGATTGGGTATCTCTTACCAAAACGCTTGGGACTCAAAGTGTTTTGAAGTTAAAGTTTTTTGAATTTTGGAATATTTTAGGTACATTACTAGATATGTTATGAATAACACAAGTCAAAATGTAAAAAATTATTTATATTTTATATACACCTTATACACTTAGACTGAAGTCAACTTTGTACAATATTTTAATATTTTTTTGTAAAGCAAAATTTGTGTACATAAAACCCTGGGAAAGCAAAGATATTACTATATTAACCACCTATTTGGACAATCTCAGTTTTTTTTTCATCATCGTTATTTCTGACTCTGAGTTTATATACCAGTAATAAGCAATCATTTCCTTAAACTTATTAGCACATATATAATAAACAATAAAAATTATGACATAAA